GAAACTTAGAATCGTCTAACTTCCATCAGATTAGCAACCTTTTCTGTTTCCTCTTTCCAGCTCTCAAATACCTGGTTTCACCAGATCCAGCGGACAGAGGTGAACCCAAATCATGTTTTGCTCTACATAGAGCAGGTGAGGACTAATTCAGGGCTGCCATGGGGCACAGAGTGAGCTCTGCAGCACACTGGCAATAACATGAACAGTGATGGAGAGAATTGCTAACCATCTCCAGGCTTGTAAACACGGATCGTAAGCCTCTTTGCCACCAACCTTGTATGTCTCATAGGAGACAACTCTGTCCCAACCTTCAGCAGGCTTTCCCTCCACAGATCAGGCCTTGTGATGTCTCCACCAGCAGAGCTTCCCTCAGTGTGGGAAAAGGTTTCCCCTTACCCTTCAGCCAGGTCCACCGCCCCTCTGTCCTGCCAGGGCCAAGGCACAGGTGGCAGGGGAGAGTGATGGGGCCTGGGGCAGTGTGGAGGCAAAGAGGAGCCTGGGACAATGTGGAGCCACCCCTGACCTTCCACCACTTCCCTTCCCCAGCTGAGCAGTGAGACCCTCAGCTTCTCCTTCACAGTGGAGCGGGACATCCCCGTGCAGGGCCTGAAGCCAGCCCAGGTGAAGGTCTATGACTACTACGAGACAGGTGAGTGGGGGCTGGTAGTGCCAGAGGGAGCAAGGGTGGGCAGTGGGACACGTGGAGCGGCACAGGAGCTGTGGGGACCCACAGCTGCCGCTGGCCTGGGCCATCACCTTGTTCTCTCTGAGTGCAGAGGGGCCCAGGGTAGAGCTGTGGGTGCTGAAGGTCCTGTGTTCAGGTCTGGCCCTAGAGCACAGCCATGCCTGTGTTCCCAGGCAGACCTGCTGCTCCTGGTGTCTCTGCTGTCCTGGCTGCTGTGCCAGGCTGGCAGCAACAGAGTTGTTTGTCCCCACCCCAGTGTGCTGGGAGAAGGTGCCTGAGCAGCCCTTGGGCGCACTGGGGTGGAGACCTGCTGGAACTGCTTGTGAGGGGTGGCTCTGCCTTGCTGCCACTGCCCCCACACGGGGCTGTGACTTCCCCCACTCCATCTGGGATCAGTGGAGAGAAGCTGGGGATGGTGTCAGCAGCCTGCTGTGGAGCCTGGGAAAAGCATCTCTGCCACCTGTCCCTCTGCCAGCAGTGCCAAGGGTCACAACAGTTCACTCTGTCCTTTCCCTTCTGTTTTCCAGATGAGTTTGCCACACAGGAGTACAGCGCTCCCTGCACCACAGGTAGGTACCGAGACCCCTTCGCTTCACAGTTCTTTACATCTTCTTCATTTTATTTTCTAGTCTTCCAGGCAGTGCTTCTCTCTTCATGCTTGAATTTGGATTACATTTGCCCAGTTTGCAGGCACAGATATTGCTTGAAAATTGAGAGCATGCGAGTTACACTGTTGTTGTTTCTGAAGAGATGGCAAGTTTGCCTTTGGTAGCTACTATCTGGAGCAACAGCTGCTTCCTGCTCAGCTCCCTGCTGCCCAAGCAGGAGGGGTGTCTCTCAGGAGGCAGGTAGCCTCTTGACCCTAGGCAGCCAGCCCTCAGTCTTGGCTTGGAGACTGAGCTGGCAGGGCAGAGATACCATGGTCTTTGGGGGGTTCTCTGCAGTGCAAGGCCACATGTGTTTGGCTTAGGAGCTCAGGTGGGAGATTCTGGAAAAGGCCCTGACCAAGGATGTTTCTCCTATCTTATATGGAGTCTTCCAATATGAAGAATGGCAGGTCTTGCTTCCCCTCAGTTGCCCACTTTCACGTGTTTGGAATATGGAGGCTTCTGGGAAGCAGAGTGGTTTTTCAGAGGGCCTGACTGTGGCATCTGAGGGAAGAGAAAAAATGATCTGGACTTGGGGAAAGCAAAAGCTTTGTCACTTGCTGGGGGTAAATGGTGAAATTTATCTCCTTTCGTGTTCTTACCTGGTATCTTGGAAAAAAGCCTGAACTCCCACACTTTTACTCCATACTGCTTGCTAACCTGGGCTGTGTCCGTAGGTACAGATGTGTTCTGTCGATTTTGGACCTATAGCCTCACTTCACGGAAAAATGTCCATAAGTCCTAAGATAGACATTGCGCGGATAGTAAAGCATTTCCAAAGGATGTATTGGTGTCATCTGGTTATTCAGTCTGAGACTGGTGGGGAGGCTTTAGATTTTAGGCTACTCTTCCCCATTTCTGTTAAGAGGCAGAGTTTTTATCTTCTTTGAAAAGGGTATTGGGAAATTGCTATTTAAGGAGTTCATCCACTGGTCTAGGTGTACAAAGGTGGTCTGCACTGACTTAAAAGGCAAATCTCAATTGCCAAGCTTCCTTCCCTGCCCTGAATAGTAAGGCAGTAGAGTGCCGTAGGTTCCTTCCACTCTTGACAGAGAAAGAAATAGAGTATGTCTCACTGTTGCACAGAACATCCTTGCCTGTTTGCACTGTGCTCCTGTGTACATCTCAGTTGTGACAAATCCTACTCTGTTTATCTCTCCCAGTGGATCAGAATGAATTTCAGCCCTCTCTCAACCTCAC